TATTTTGAAGAATATGATTAACTGTGATGTAATCATCCAGTGAAATATTAAATGGTGCATTACTTTCTTGTACAGGTTTCTGTAAATACTCCGCACCACATTTTCTTTTGTTTTGACAAAACCTTTGATTTTACACACGTTTGGAAGTCTTGTGCCAGCTAGGTTATCGATGGTGAAGACACTGAGACAGACAGACAAACCAGATCAGTCTTTCTACCCCATGATCTCACTGAATTGTGGAACAGGCTCGAGGGGCCGAATGGCCTGTTCCTATGTACCTCTGTATTCAACACAGTAAAATTGAAACCTTCAAAGACTCAAAATTGACCGCAATATTTCCTCATCAAACTTTTGAATAACCAATTCTAGACTTTGCCAATAATCAAATTCAGACACTGGTTTGTAGCTTAAACAAAAGACTTAGCAACTTATTGACAAAGTAAAATTAAACAACAAAGTAATCTGATTAGTCTATATGTTAAACCCAAAACAGGTTTGCTTTCAGTCCAATTCACACAAAAGACAGACAGATATAGTTAAAGGATACATAAAATAACAAAAATGGCCGGATTATTTAAATGGTTTTTACAAATACGGTTGAATTTCTGAATATGTCGATTATAGTCACATTTAATATTCACTTAGATAAAGGCAGAAATACTAATCATTTCATTTTCTGTTCTCTGAGCCTCCAAGAGCTGCTAATGGGAGGTTTGGCAGGGAGCTTTCAAATCTTCATGCTCTAGCACCAACAGCCAGATTCCACGTTTTAACCAAAAACAGAATCCAAACCTTGACCACTCAATCACAGACTGACCATCTCCTCCACAAGGTCCCAGTTATCATTTGACATCTGCCATCTGCTTGAACAAAGCGTCTTTTCTAGACTTGCTGGAACCAATTCCCAGGCACTAACCTCACTAATAGCCAACTTCTGCTCTCCGTTTAAATATAGTGCTCTTCTCTGGTGACAAAACATCTGTGGAACCTTTTGATCAGGAACCAACCTGCAATTAACTTCCGGGTCTCGCCTCACAAGTAAACTAAAGCTTATTTGGAACAAAAACAGAAATTGCTGGATAAGCTCAACAGGTTTGGCAGCATCTGTGGAGAGAAATCAGTTCTGACGAAAGGTCACTGGACTCAAAAGTTAACTCTGATTTCTCTCCACAGATGATGCCGGACCTGCTGAGCTTATCTAGCAATTTCTGTTTTTGCTTCTGATTTACAGCATCCACAGTTCTTTCAGTTTTTAAAAGCTTATTTAGTCTGTTTTCCTTTTAACACAAGTTGGTACCCACAATCTAAGAAGTTATCTTTAGCTCACTGTTCGTAGTTCCCAGATCCAAACCAAAATGGATAAAAAGAATACAACGAAAATAATGTACGCTTGCATAGTCAACATCCAGTATATAGCACTATTTTTATATACATTAGATAGCATGTAGCATCGAATGAAACACTGCTTGTGACATTTTGAACATCTTTAGTTCAGCGTGAGAGTCAAGGCCTTAATAAAAAGGCACTTGTATTGTGTACGAATCTAGATTTAGCCTTTCTAGGAAGTTAGATTGATGCCGTATATACCGTAACAGACACGTTACTGAAAGCATTTGTCTGTCTTGACTTAAAGCAGCACATCTTACACCATACGATGGGTTCCGGTGTTATCTAAATCTCTTCTGAATTTGTCCGATGAAGGGAGAGGTCCACTTCTCCTTTAAGGCTGCTGACCTTGTCCAGATGACCGAGGGCTCACATCTGGACCATGCAGCGACGTCGCGTAGAAATGTTACATCTAACCAGGGAAGTGGGGGACGGCAAGCGAAAATCTGAAACGAACGTTTCTGTTTCTGCTGTTTTGTTGGGCATTATTGGATAGGCCAACAAGCTTGAAATCCACCACCAACACACCAGCACCCTCCCCCCCCCCCCCCAACTCCCTGCCATTCCCTGCAGTTTGGTGTTAGCTCCGGACCTAGGGGTTATTTCTCCGAGAGAGGTTTTGGATGTGGTGACAGCGAGCACTGAGCTTCTCATGTGTTAAGAGTGCAGTCCCCGAGGACAGCTCTCTCTCTCGCTGTCTCTGCCTCTGACGGATGGTTACGGTGAAGGGGGAGATGCCGCAGTCCTTTCTGATCCTCTCTTGCCATCTGCCCTGAGCTAACCACACGCTCTGAACGGCAGCTCCACACCCAGCGCAAAATTACATCAGGACAGGAGAGCTACTGGCTGAACAGCTCCCATCCAGAATCCTGAAGGATTTCAAGAACTTCCTAAGCAGGTGAGTGACAGCCTTGAAATGTTACTTGTAGTGACCCTGGCGGAGACAGTGCAGTTATTCTAAAGTCTAATTCTTCAAATAAAAAGGACTGGGGACTGTAGCGTCCGTTTTCCCACAGCTAGTGTATTAAAAACTAATTGATCAAACTGGCGTTGTGTTTACTCAATACTTAACCAAGGCGTTAGATGTGTTCATGATCTAGTTCCTCCTGACCTCTGCGATTGACCCAATGTTCTTTAATTTAAATGTCACGACCCTGTTTTGTTTCAATTATTGGCGAATATTGATCCAATGGATAATATCGAATTCATTGCCCTTTCAGCTCGATGTTTAGATTGCCAACTTTCCACGCTGCAAATGTTAGCTTTCACCCCTATTTCACATCCATTTTCAGGGAAAGAATTAGTGTCCCGCCGGCCATTCGCAACACCGAGAACACAGAACACGAGAGAATGTAATAAGTTTCCTTTTCTTTGTAAGAAAGTCGCTTTTATCTTATTAAGCCGCGTAGTGCGGTTGATGCTGCTCAGGCTTATTGAAAGGTGCACAGATCCACACACTCACTCCAAAGTCACCTCGCTCTCTCTTTGGTGAGTACAAACCTTGCGGATAGAATTCAGTGCTTGCTAGGAGCCGGTAAAATTGTGTCCCAAATCCCTGTTTGCTTTCCTTTAGGTCGAAAGGTCTGTGTAATTAACTTTAACAAGAACGACGAAATTTTTTCAATTTCTCATTAGAGACAGTTCTCCCAGCAGCATTTCCCAGGGAGAGACCATTCCACTGTCCAAATGTTTCATTACATCACCCCCCACCCCCCCCCGCCCCGCCACTTAAAAGCATAACACTGGGCGGAATACAACCGCGGCTCTTTAGGAAGTAGGATGTGTGGTTCCCCGCACCAAAATAATACTACTTCAGGGGCAATGTCTTCAAGCATGACAGAACGATTCCCAGGTAAGTAAAAACCGAAAGAACTGCGAATGCTGTAAATCAGAAACAGAAGTTGCTGGAACAGCTCAGTAGGTCTGTCATCGTCTGAGAAGAAAAATCAGAGTTAACGTTTCGTGTGGATCTGAAACGTTAACTTTGATTTCTCTGCACAGATGCTGCCAGACCTGCTGAGCTCTTCCAGCAACTTCTGTTTCTGATTCCCAGGTAAAGTCTGCAAACCAGGAGCAGACAAGGTGGGACTAGTATAGTTTGGGATTATGGTCGGCATGGACCTAAGGGTCTGTTTCCGTGCTGTATGACTCTAAGAAGAGAAATTGCTGCAGAAACTCAACAGGTCTAGCCACATATGGAGAGAGAGAGAGAAAAAACAGAGTTAACAGAACTAGTGGAGCCGAAACATTAACTCTGCTTTCCCTCCACAGATGCTGCCAAACCTGCTGAATTTCTCCAGCAATTTCCATTTTTGTTTCAGACCTCCAGCCTCCGCTTTGTTTTATTTTCGAGTTCTATTTGAATTGTTTCATGATCGAAAAAGACTTGCCCCCAACACTGTTCCTAAAGCCCAGCATTGCTTTTGTTTCTGCCCTTGGCTGGTTAATCGCCGCGGGCTGTTCATTCAGAAGCGAGCCGATAGCCTGTTCATTATCTCTCTCTTAGTGTCGCGCCGTAATTTGGGACCCGATTGTTCTCCAGGCTTTTGTTTTACAAAAAGCTGGAATCTGGGTTTTTGTTTGTTCCCGCACACACGGGGCGGGTAGAACGGGTTTTTTTCACCTCGTTCGCAAAAGGACGAGAAACTTTTTTTTAGAAACGACAAGTCTGTAAACCTCTTTAGGACGTTTTAGTTTGTAAATCTAATCTTTGTCACGAATCTGATTTGAAATCGAATGTAAATTTCGTTGTGCGGAAGTGTCTACTTGACGATGTGGAACTCGGCCTGGTTGCTAAATCTTGCTGCATTTGTATAGTTTCAACATTGTTGTAGTAACCGATTATCAAATCCCCCGAAATAACATTTTACAATACATTTATATTTTCTAACCATTATGAATAATGTCCAATTTGTATTAAATTGTCTTTGTTAGATTGTCCTTCAAAATATGGTTTTATTTTTCTTCCTTAGATATTTTTGAATTGAACATCTGTTGAGTTTTTTAAAAAAAGAATTCCTGGTTCGGATTTGCTATCAGCTTTAATAAAAGACTGGTTTTGGAAAGGAGTTAGATCGGTGTTGACTCTCTGGAAACGCTCACAGTGTGCATCCAGTCTAGTGCCTTTGAATGACACGGTTGTGGTCAGCTTTTCCTTCAGTGCCAGGTAACATTTTCATTCCCAATAATTCTAGCCTACCGATGATATCAGATCCGAGGAAATGTGATTGAAATATGTTTTATATCTGTTCAGAGACGTTGCGACACACCCTCCGGTGCACGTGGGCCTTGGACCTCCTAGCTCCGAGGCAGGGACACTACAAGCCCCCAGGTCTCCTTTTAGAAGTTACACTTGGTCCCTGGATTCGAAACGTTAACTGTTTTTCTCTCCCCACAGATGTTGCCGGACGTGTTTCTCCAGCAATTTTGTTTTATTTTGTTTACAGAAACCTACCAGCTTGGAGTAAGTTACTGACAAAGAGGGAATGGTCACAAATGCGTTTTGTTAATCCCTGGGTAATGACACGGATTGGTCCAACGGCATGTTAATATGTTCAGTCCGGTTACACTTGTCTCTGCTTCCCCGCAGGGTCTCGCCTTTCTGCACAACTGGTATGTCGCTGTCGGGAAAGGACCAACTTTTCGCCATTGAAAGCTTCAAGCGGGCCCCTGCGCCCAAGATCCCGAGCTATATCAGCCCCCTGGTGCCCCAGCCCCGGTTCCTGGATGGGGGGCCCTTCTTGCCTCTGCAGTCCCGGGCCAGCCCCGGCTCCAGCTCGGCCCTGCCTTTCAGTTTCAGCAGTTTCTCCTTCCTGGGTCAGTCTCGGGCACTGGGCAGCACTTTGCCGGCTTCCCCTGTCGCTTTGGAGCCGCGGAAGGCAGTGGGTAGTGGTCTGGGTGAGCAGGAAGCCCCGCACTACCAGCCCTGTCTGATGCCAGGGGCAGAGAGGACACCGTTCACTGAGGAACATCTCAACACTGTGCTGTACGGCCGAATGGACTCCGCCAGTGCTGACCAACTCGCCCCCCACGCTATCTCAGGACTGCGCATCTCCGGCAACACAGGTACTGAGGCCAAACGGGGCCCGGCAGCCGCAGCTCTCCTGCAGAATGCCAGGACTGGCCAGTGACCATCTCCCTGCTCTTTACCCTGTAGGTGCGCTGGAGGACCAGTACCAGGCGGTGGACAGAGAGTGTCTAGAAATCCCAGTGGGTGAGTGGGGGAGGGGGAGGGAGTGGGAGGGGAGGGAGAGGGGAGAGGGCAGGAGAGAGAGGGAGAGTGTAGGGAGGGAGCGAGGGGG